GCCGGGGCGGGGGCAGAGCCGAACCCGGCGACCGGGGCCGTGCAGACCGGCTGCATTCCTGCCGGCGGGCCACGGGCCCGGCGGGGCGGGCTCTGGGGCGGGGACAGCCCGCCTAGCCCCGGCCGTCTCCCTTTTCCACCGGCCCGGCCCGGCCCGGCCTGGCCTGGCCCGGCCGAGCAGCGCCGAGCCCCCCGCCCCGCAGAGCCGCCTGTGTCCCGCGGCCACGCCGCCGCCATGTCGCGGCCGGCCGGGCGCGCCGCGCTGCTGCCGCCGCTGCTGCTGCTGCTGCTGGGGCTGCCCGCGCTCCTGCCGGCGCGGCCCCGCTACGAGCCCACCTGGGGCTCGCTGGACGCCCGGCCGCTGCCCGCCTGGTTTGACGAGGCGAAGTTCGGCGTCTTCATCCACTGGGGCGTGTTCTCGGTGCCCAGCTTCGGCAGCGAGTGGTTCTGGTGAGCTGCGGCGAGCGGTGTCCGGTCGCACCGGAACAGCCGCCGCGGGCGGGTCGTACCCAGCGATCCGAGGGGTTTGCTTGGCAAGCAGCTCCTCGGGCAGGCGGGGATGGGTGTGTGTCCCCCTCGTACAGCGGAGGTTTGGGTTAGAGCCCCTCTGCAGGCTGACCCTGAAGCTCAGGTGTGTGGGAAGAGGTGTGTGTCCACCCAAGGCCACGGACTGCGTGGCGCCTTTGGCAAGGAAGCAGAGTTGGATGTGCTTCGGGTGTGTCTGCCTGCTCAGACCTAAAACTTGAATGCTTTGACTGACGACACTAAATTAAGAAGATATCTTGCAGAGCTGAGAGATGTGATTTGCTGCTGGTGAAAGAGAGAGTTGGTTGAGCCGCAGGAGTACCTTGAAGGGATGGGTGAAGGGGTTTTCCCCTGTGGGAACAGGCGTTGAGGATCTCCCAGCCCCTGGAGCAGCCTGGTACTGCTGCTGGAGCACTGTGGGGAGTGCAGGTGCCCATTGCTGCCCTTGCTTAGCAAGCAGCCTGCTGTTTTCTTGTGCATATTTTATGCTGTTGATGGTTTTCTTCTCTTTTATTATTACTGTTATTCAAGACTGCTTTCCACTTAAGAGAGTCCAAGGCTCTGATCCTTTAAGTAATTTTTAGGTCAGAGGCTCAGTAAAACCTTTGTTTTGTGAGTGTTCACTGGTTCAGACCCTTCGGCTGTAAGCATATTTCTGCTGTCGTCTTTTCACGCTCTACCAAGCACTTCCTGTGTGACTTCAAGTGAGTGACATTATCATTTAAAATATGAAGATAACAGCAGTTCTGTGGCAGAGCTGTGGTGAACCTTAAATGCAATATTCACAAAACAAACCAAACCAACATAGATCTAAACAAATAACTGGTTTTTGACAATATTTGGTTTGTTCAGAGTCATATTCAAGGGCTATTCAAGCAGTTTTTTAAGGTAGACTCCATTTACTAATAAATTACTTTTGTGGGGGGTGACATTGCTAGATTTAGGTTCAAGCCTCAGTCTGAGTGCTGTTGTCTGATAGTGGTGCACAGACTCAGGGTCAAGCATTTGGTCTTCGTTGTTGTTCTAAGAAGATCCCAAAACTCTCTAATGTAGTTGATGAAGTTGCTTTTTAAATTCCTGGAGTCCCCCATCCTTAGGCATATGTGAGTGTAGAGCTGCTTCAGGCCTTCTAGCAGCATGTGCAGTCAGACGACTGAGATCCTATGTTAGCAGCTGCATGGCCTTGGAAAGGATGTTTCTAGAATCTAATCATGTCAGTGTGGAAGTGCTCATGTTAGCAAACTATGTGACAAAGGAAGAGAAGCAAGGATGTTACCCTGTTTATTTATGCAATTAGGTACTTTGAAATCAGAGGTTGTTTGGTTGGGGGGGTTGTTTGGTTGTGGTTTGTTATTTTCTCTTTTTCTCATATTCCCTCCCCTCTTCTCCCCCCCTTCTTCTTTACCCCTCTAGTCTTTCAATGAGTAAAGCTGTCTTGGCCTCTTTCTTCTGAGTTTTTTCCCTTTTGGCTGCCAGAGGTTGTGTCCGTTTATGATGAAGTCTGGGAAGGTTACAACAATATCTAGACAGTTACTATGTCTTTAAGAACTGAAGTCAGAATCTAACGCGTGATAGGAGAGGGAAACACATTTCAAACATTTAGATACTGACCTTTAGATTCTGCAGTTATTCCTTAACTTACTACCTGTTTTCATGTATGTTCTTGCTGGAACAGGATCTTTGCTGCTTGGCTTCATTCATAGAAAGGTGAATGCTTCCAGACTCTTTTCTCTGTATATATTAGCAGTCACATGGTATGTTGTTGTTAGAAGACGTCCAGCAATAAGGCTGTTCAGGCAGTAAGGACTGTTGTGTGCTGTTTCCAAAGCTCCTCTTTCATTGCTCGGAAGGGAAGGGAGCAGGTTGAAAATAAATATTGCTCTGTTCGTGATTTATGATCTCTGCTTATGATGAGGGCGAGACCAATGTTGAACACAGAGCAGAGCTCCAAGCCCTGCTGTGGACTAGCCCAGTTGGAATAGAGACAATATCAGCTTATTTTTCCTTCTAGTTGCTAAATCCAAGTGCCCTGGAAGGTAGATGTGTGCCTGCATGTTAGAGCCTGTGACAGAGGTGCATTTTTAAGTGATCGGCGGGTTTTTGTTGTAGGACATGGCTTCTGGTAGGGTGCCTTTTGTTCAGAGCCTCACCTGTGCAGTGGCTGTAGTGCATTGGTCACAGCTCTGTCCTGCCCAGGGACTGTGGGCATCTGGTCAATCAACTACATTTAGTTTAAAGGACTTGGGACTGTCAGAAAGGTAAAGCTGCTGGTCCGCATGTTTGTAGGTGGCAGGAACTGCAATGTGGGCGGCAGAGCAGAGGTGCCTGATGGCTGAGGTGTGAGACTTGAGGAGGATGAGTCATATTTTTTCAGAAAAAGGGCATTTCTCATGCCACCTGGGCTGCTTACACGGACTTTCTGCACGTGCGCTCTAGTATGGTTTTGGGATTTGGATACTAAGACTGTCATTTTTCCATTCTCAAAGTGTAGCTGCTTTTTTCATTGCTTCAAATGAAATCCTGGGACCTTTCCAAAGTGGAGTGCTTCAAAGATGTAGAGCATGGACAAATAGGATAGAGAAAAGCAAATCTTTGGTAATTAAAACTGTTCTGGAGCAATTTTGCCCTATTGCTAGTGTCACGTACTTCAGTACCTCTGCCTCTCCGTGTAGGAGCTGGTGATTTCAACTCTCTTTGTCTAAAGATACATTAGCAGACGTGTTTTGTCCTGTATTTTTTAGGTGGTACTGGCAGAAGGAAAAGAGAGAGCCCTATGTGAAATTCATGGAGGCCAATTACCCACCTGGCTTCAGTTACGAAGATTTTGGGCCACTGTTTACAGCAGAATTCTTTGATCCCAACCAGTGGGCAGATATTCTGAAGGCTTCAGGTGCAAAATATGTTGTCTTAACTTCAAAACATCATGAAGGTAAGTGGAAGTTTTGTGAATGTTAGTAACTGTTGCATTTCTGTCAATAGAAGAAAAAAGCAGGTGACTTTCCTGCTTGCTAAGATAGATGGAAAAAGCCAGGCAGGCTTACCTGTCCCACTGCAGCCAAAGAGGAAAAAAACCACCCAAGAAATGTGCAGTTGTTTTCCTGACTCTTACACGGAAGCTGAGGTCATGGAGCTTGCATAGGAGGAACAATAAATTGTGCCACTTTTTTCTTGCTGTAGGTAAGACAGGCTGAAGTGGTGGTGGCAGCTGAGCTTCCTGCAGTAGCCATAGTGCAATTTATTGATGAAAGAACCATAAAAGTGAATTCTGCACTCTTTAACTTATGGAGAGCTGCTGTCTGCAGGCAGTTAGCGAGCTCTGTAGGTTTCTGCAAGGAATTTAGGGGTATGCTTTGGGAGTTAGCGTCAGAGTTAGGAAGGTTCACAAGGTATAGCTTTTCCTGATGTAGCTCATAGAAGCCAAAACCTTGAACTGGGTCTTTAGCTTTACAGGCACAGTTGATTTTTAGCACTGTAGTTGTAAGATGCTTTGCAGAGAAAAGTAAAGAAAAAGAAAGCGGCTGGAAGGAAATACAGTATCAAATAAAGTATAAAATACTAAGATGCAATATGACAAGTACAGCTAATGAATGTTTTTGGTCTTTGGGGAGATGTGGGTTCAAGACTGGTAACTTGTGACTTGTAAATTTTTATCTCAGCTCTGATACACATAAATTTTTATCTTGATGATGCTTGTGGTGAAATTCTCAAGAATCTTCAAAAGAATCATGATTCATTTAGTCTGTCCTGTAGCCTTGGGCATGAATTTTTAGCTTGTCTGTCTAGTCGATACAATTGCGTATATTCAGTTCACAAAAATATCCCGAGATTTATTAGGCAATGAGTCTAAAGCAGTTTGAAGGTGAGAGCGGAGCTTGTCTGGCACTGGTCTGAGTCTGCAGTGCAGTATTATTTTAAGTGCTTGTGCTAGGATTGCTGGATGTCTGAAATGTCAAATCTCTCCTGACTCCTGATATTTAATGTTGATATTTTGAAATCTGTTTCAGGAGTTTTTGCACTCTGCTTATATACCTGTACTGAGTAGTTGATTGAGCTGCTATAAATACCGAGACAAATGAAAAGTGAACATTTGCATAAGATGGAAACAGAAGAGAGAAGAGTCTTTGAATGCAAATAATAGCTTGTGCTTGCAGCAGCTGAGAAAGAGTTTTGTCTTCCATTTGTTGTGTATTTACAGTTCATATTGATACTTTCTGCAAAAGTGTATATTCCTCAAAAGCTGCTGTATTTGTGATTAATTTCATAGAATTATAGAATGGTTTGTGTTGGAAGGGGCCTTAGAGATCATCTAGTTAATGGAATGAAGTCAATAACTAAAGAGAGGGAATAATTATCCTAAGCAGTACAAACAGGTTAGGATATGTGTATGTATTAAAAAATATGTAAACATATCTGGCATGGTATTCTGATGACTATTATAATCTGTTTATGCACAATGATAGGCACAGTTCATATCCACAAAAATAACAATATTATTACAAATATAGTTTTTATTATTTTTTTACAACACACTTCCAAACCACTTTCCAGAAAGAGGAACTGTAAATTCCCCTCTTCTTCTTCTTCTCCTACTTATCCTTCGAATTTTCTCTTTTCAGGCTTTACTTTGTGGGGGTCCAAATATTCTTGGAACTGGAATGCTGTTGATGTGGGACCGAAACGGGATCTTGTTGCTGAACTAGCAGCATCTGTTAGAAACAGAACTGACTTGCATTTTGGGTTATACCATTCCCTGTTCGAATGGTTTAATCCTCTCTTCCTTGAGGATGCCACCAATGTCTTCAAGACAAGAAAGTTTCCAACCAGTAAATCATTACCAGAACTCTATGAAATTGTGACCAAGTACCAGCCAGAAATAATTTGGTCTGATGGGAGTGGAAATGCTCCAGATACTTACTGGAACAGCACTGGTTTCTTGGCTTGGCTGTATAATGACAGGTACCTAATGATGTTGCCTTAGCACCTTATCTAAAATTCTGTTCTCTGTCTAGTTTGTTTCACTTTCTGTTTATTTTATGGAACCTGTTAACCTCTACTTTAGAGGACTTAACAAAATATTCATTTTCCTGAAATACAGAATCCAGATCTTCCCTAGAATTATCAAAGCTTGCTTTAGAAAAAACCTGTTAATCAGATAAGATGGTATTGGCTACTCTACCTAATCACAGCCTTCCCTATATATTTGTTGCTGCACAGAAGCAGAATAGATGGACAATTTGAGAATATGGGTACATTGTTTTCATTGTAGAGCGAACACCTGGCAGTGGATGTGAAATGCAGGCTGTTTTCTGGCAGAGCTCCTATAAAAGTCGAGCATATTTCCTTAAGAAATGCCGATCTGGACCTTTTACTAGGAAAGAATGAGAATAGGATTCCTGACATAGCACTTAATCTATAAATGAGTAGTACAGAAGTCATCCAAAATGTTACTGTCTGGGTGTGTGTGGGAAGGGTTTACGCTGGCTGTGACTGCATTCTATAGAATAAAAGTAATAAAATTTGTCTGTTTCCAGCCCGGTCCGGGACACAGTTGTAACCAATGACCGCTGGGGAGTTGGCAGCATCTGTACCCACGGCGGCTTCTACACCTGCAGTGATCGGTACAACCCTGGCCACCTCCTGCCTCACAAGTGGGAGAACTGTATGACCATCGACAGGAGGTCGTGGGGGTACCGCAGGGACGCGCAGCTCAGTGACTACCTCACCATCGAGGACTTGGTGAAGGTACAGTGGGGCAGAGGAGTTTATAAAATTACTAAGGGAAAGGTTTATCTAGTAGAAATGTGATGAGTTTCTTAGAAGCCGTTTCCCCTGTGAGTAACTGGCCAAGGACTGATCTGGACAGTCTCATAATTACCTTTTCCACTGAGTTTTTCTGGTAACTGCATCTCTAAGCTGATGAGAATCAAACAGTTGCAGTTGCACAGCTCCTGGTTCGGAACAGCTGATTGAAGGCTACATATTTTCCCCTTTACAGCTAGAAACAGTTTATGACTCAAAAGTCATTTTACCTTGTAGCAAGAAATTTTTGGTACAGACACACAGCTAGACACTGGCAGATGGAGACAGCTGATCTTAGTACAATACTGATTGCTAGTCTAAGCTATTAAAAAAGATGCGAAGCTTAGGAAAACTGAATGAAAGAGAGATGATCAACCTTTCAGGAAAATGCATTTAATTTCAAAATTCAGCTAGAGAGGGGGAGATTAAGCAACAATAACAATCAGTCTAAATCTGTTTCTAGTACTGTCCTTGCAAAAGACTACTACAAATTGAAGTAACCTCTTTTCAGAGGCAGAATGTTTGAATTCATTCAGGAGCTTTTCTCCAGCTGTGTTTCTCAGACTTGTGCATCTCAGTCCATGATCTCTGGAGGGCAGTGTGGATGTGGACACAAATTTTAGAGACTCTATAGAAGGCTTTCTTGTGTTTCACAGATGTCTCTGTAAAATGGGGAGAGCATCAAACAGAGGAAGAACAGAGGAAGTTGTTTCTCTAAGCTTCAGTAAAGATGAAGTGGCAACTATTAGCCTTATTCTACTCTGGTGCAGAGAAATCATCTGTCCATTCTATCAGTAAAACCCTTGTGATGTTCTTGCAGAAGTGAAAATGTTAAAAATGTGTAGGATCTGATTCTAATGTACATTCAGCCAGATATACTGGGGCAAGAACGTATTTTGGGCTTTTTTCTGATGTAACACTTGTCATCAGAGCTTTGTTTTACTGGAGCTTAAATTTTGTTTTGACTATTGAGATGACCCCCGTAAGTCTTAACATGCAGCAGTAACGTAGCTCATTTGGTTCATTATTCTGAAGCAGCATGGCAGACTTTGGAAAGTACTTCAGATGTGTGATTTCATTAGTTCATAATCGTATGCTCTGTGTGTTGAAAAACATTTCAGCAACTCGTTGAAACAGTGTCCTGTGGGGGAAATCTCTTGATGAATATCGGGCCCACTCACGACGGTCGCATCGCCGTTATATTCGAGGAGCGCCTGAGGCAGATGGGTGCTTGGCTGGAGGTCAATGGAGAGGCCATCTATGGAACGAAACCATGGAGAGCACAGAACGACTCCGTCACACCAGAAGTGTGGTAAGGGTACTGAATCAAAATGTAGGCACTGTAAAGCAGCACCAATGTATGTGAACCTTTGAAATTCTTAACGACTTGGTGCTACAGAATTCACCATTTTAGTTTGTATGTGGTGAAGAAATTAATCCCTCTGTCAGTTTAAGTAACTGCACACAGAAGTGTGTATAAAGCTGTAGGTAGAGACTGTAGTTTTGGGATGATGCTGAGGCTGAAGGGAAGGCTGCAAACATTTCTTTACTGATCTTAGTATAGTTGGCAACAGAAACAAAGAATATACAAATCTGGAAATATAAAATTGCTATGAAGTGTTTATCTGTAGAAAGGAATACTTGATGTCACTTGATGTTTTAAGAGAAAAAAGGGATAGGAAGAAACTAGAAACCAGTCTAGCATATTGTACATTTTTTTAAGGTAAAAATGCATGGGAAAATAACAGCAATTGCTTGGTCACTAAATACAGCCAGTCTCTGGACTCCCCCCTGCCTTTGTGACTTGTAGCTGCTGTAATGCCTTAATGATCCATCAGGGTTTTGGTCTCGTCCCTCTTCTCTGTCTCAGTGGGCCTTTTTACTCCTGTTCCCAGTAAAATTTGGCCATCTGGCTTTAGCTGGGAGATGCTGAACTGCTGTTTAGTAAAATCACTTTCAAGAGCAATAGAAAGTTGTAACTAAGTGAAGGAAGGAGGGAGGCATGTTTTGAGGGTATGCCACAAGATTTCCAATGAAAATAGTGCAGATAGTATATGCTGAAAATAATATTTTCAAAAACTAGTTATGCAAGGTGGAAGCTCTATTGTTGTACATGCTTGTTAAATTTTTTTAGTCTGTATGTTGCTGTATAGATGCGAATTAGCATGTTTTTCTGAATATAACCTACAATTCTCTGTTAAGGATTCCCCTTCCCCTGCAAGTATCTCCTTCCTATATGGCTGAGCAGCAGAGAGTTACATGTGTACTAAAATTACTACAGATGTTTGCCTCTGAATTCAATTAATAGTTTCCATTACCTCTAGTTTGTTGGAAGACAGGAGCAGTACTTTATTAAAGGATATAAATCATCTGAAAAGATGGTTATGTGTGTGAAAATGGAACTAATGCTGACTTTTCAAATCCATTTTCCCAATCTTGAAACACTCTTATGTATCACTTCTGAAAATTTACATGGAAAAACTGAAATGCATTTCTGTTCCCCATTTCCAACCAGGTATACTTTCAGCCCTAAAGAAGGGACAGTCAACGCCGTCTTCCTTAACTGGCCAGTTTCTGGGATTCTGGAACTTGGTGAGCCACAGGCTAAGCTTGGAGAAACACAGGTAAAAGACAGCACACACACAAACATGTGCCCTTCTCTCTAGGATTTGTCATGTACCATCATGTTTATTTAAATTTCTGGCACCTTTGGGAATGCATAGCTCTTAGGACAGAGTACGTTGGAAGAGACCCAGCAGAATATTTGTTTTAGTTCTTGGACCTCCTTGTCATAGTGCTTCCAGTAGGATGTTTCTTCTCCAACTAACAAAGTTAGACTGAGATGTTGCTGGGATATGTTTTAGCTTGCAAGCTGAGAATCATGAAGAGGCAACGTAGCAGGGAAAAACTGCGCTGCTTCTCCTCTTTCACATGTAGACTCTAACTTGGTAAGACTTTGCTTTATAAGTAGCTGTCCTCCCTTTGGTGACTTTGGTGATATTGGACTTGTTATAACAGTGCAGTTGTTTCAAGTTAAAGCAGTTAAAGCCTTGCACAAAGGGAATGCACACAGAGGATTTATTGGCCAGGGAGGCTAAAAAGTAAGTCAGTGTGACCCTAGATGTGCATTTATACCCAGTGGAGGTCAGAAATTGAGGACACTGATGCCACGCCTACTCTAGAAAGAAGTGTAGCCCAATGGAAGCAGAAGTTGGTATCAACTCTGTGCATTTAAGAGGAGATTCACTTTTGGCTTAGCTCTGTTCTGGTCTCATGCACTTCATGTCCATTAGCTGATGAAGTGCATTAGGGCTGCTTCTGGTCTAGTTCCATATAAAAATAGTGTGATAGGTGCCAAGATAACTCTGTGATAGGGAAGAAAAAGTCATTTCAGAAGTAATGGAAATGCATCTTGACTTTTGGAGAGGCAGCTAGACTCTATGTTCCTCAGCGGCAGAGACTGATCTTCAGCTGCTCCAGCACGTCACCAGAAGAAGAGTCACCATAAACCCATTGGTGTGATTTTAGTGAGAGGGGGTTATTCAAGTCATCTCTTCTGAGATACCTGGCTGCACTCTCTAAGAAACAGTGATGCTCATTCAAGACTACAAGTTCCACCATGGGAAACACGCATTTCAGAAATAGGTCACACACAGCTCGGTACTGTAGCACCTAGATCCCTGCTTAGACCTAAATCCCATCCCAAATACTTCTGAAAGGTGCTTGTTTACCTTCTACAGCCCTAAGTACTTCTCAAGACCCAACATGACTAGCTTTATTACTTGCACTTCCATATCTAGTTTGCTAGTATTTTTACACTACCTTTAATAATTATCATTCATTTGGTTGGTAAGTGGCATTTAAGGATAATTGGTTAGAAAAGTAGCTATAGATCAATATTTATTTTGTCAATATTGCAATTATATGCACTTTGAAAAGGCATTGTTCTAATTATAGTGTATGTTTCTATCTCAGGTAAAGCTGGCTGGCTACAAGGAACTGCTGAAATGGGTTGCACCGGGAGAAAAGGGACTGATTATAGCTCTACCTCAATTAACTCCTAAGCAATTGCCATGCCAGTGGGGCTGGACTTTACAACTGACTGCCATAAAATGAGCCATGCTCTGCTGGAGCCCCAGCTAGCAGGTCATGCTGATGCTTTGCTGTTTCTCATCACTGGTTTTGAACTTAATTACCTGTAAAAACAATAAATTCACTTTTTTAAATGAAAGGTAGGCTGTTATTAAGGAATGGAACAAACTTCACATGAAGTCTAGCACGAGATAGTTGATCCTCTGCATATATTTTTGTTTCTCTGAAGTTGTGTGAAAAACTGAGCAGCTACCTTGACCCCTCTACTCGTTTTAGTCAGGTACTGGCCAAGCTCAAGCACACCCTCTTTACTGCAAGTCAGTTCTACACCCTCTTTAATGCAAGAACTCCAACTTCCACAAAACTGCACAGTAAAAGGTGAGTTTTGGAGAAAAGGATAAACTTTTCCCAGCTGTGTACAGCAACTGGTAGCCAGCAGTTTCAGCATAGTAGGGTAACATTGGGAAGAACAGGCCTGTAAGGGTTTGGAATTCATCACACAAGCATGGAGGTAATGCATACGTACATCATCATTTCTTATCATGGAAGTCACTCATTTCACATGCTCCTACTCTTGAGTGGATAATTCTATCCATTACTTGGACATAGGTAAACTGGGAAGGTTTTTTTCCATTTTGTATAATTTTACATGGGTAAAGCTTGACTTTTGTTTACAGCCATTGTTTTTACAGTTACCAGGGTGCCTTATGTAGACTGTAAAACAAAACATATACTTTAACGATTTAACTCTTGAAAAAAAGAGAAATAATCAGGAGTTGCTAGGGATCTTCAACTTTGGAAATTTTTCAATTTGGATGCAGTCTACCCTCTGCTTAAAATGTTGTCTTTCTGCCAAACTCACCATGTGTCACAACTTCTAGGGATAGACACACAATGTGAAGTTTGCAAAGAGGAGGAGATAAAGGACAACAAAAGGCAATAATTGTTTCTGCTTCAGTGTAGAGACTGAAGGTTTATTTTTCCTGAGTAATGTCGCTGAGTGCAAAATTATTACTGTGTAAGTTAAATTTATTCTTTCAGCGATGTCAGAATTTTGAGCGGTGTGCCAAATTTGGTTATTCCCTTTCCTGCTAGTAATGTTAATACACACAAAAATTTTACATTAAAATATTTTATTACAATACAGACAATTGGGCTCAAAATTAATACAAATTAAGATAAAATATTTACAAGTAATGTGTACAGTGTAGCTGTTTGAACAGCATAAACAAGAGAACATCTAAAAACCCACATTCCTTTAGTATTAAGTAACAGAGAGCATGCCCCCAGCTCATTCAAGAGGAGCGTGCATCTGTTGGCAAAGGCCTTCTGAAGAACAAGAGACTTTGGAATAATGTTTGTAAAGTTAAGTGAAAAAAATTTTCTTTATAAAAAGAAAAATTTGAGGGGAGAAGAAGCAAAAAGCATTACTTCATTCTGCTACTCTGTGTTATTCTTAGATCACTATCATTAGTTCTTTCCAAAACTTACACACTCCAGGGCAAACAAATGGGTTTTTTAGTAACCTGCTGTAATACTGCCACCAGATGCCTTTTAGATGAAATAAAAATAATCAAATTAAATACGGAGGAATTTAACCACTTTTTTAATAGAAAAGTCTTTACATACAATGATTCTTTCAACAAGAATATTTTTAATGGGTGCTTGAAACATAATTCTATTAGAACAAAGATGGGCTTACTCCCACTTTTCTCAGAGTGTTCTTTCTGCTGGTCTGCCACTCCTACAGCATTATAAAATTAACCCAAGTCTCATCAGTAGTTGCAAGGGATTTGTTATAAATACACCATCTATTCCTAAAAGTGTGCGAGTCATTTCTCCAGTTGCTGAGGGGTACTAAAAGCTTCATAAACATTAGCAGCAAAATCTTTCACTTGTTCCATCATCAACAGGTCCTGGAAGAAATGTAAAAAATAAATTTGCTTAACTGAACACATCCAGTGCCATTCTGGTTTTCCTTCAGTACAGAATTCATCATGAGAAAAACACCTGGTGCCTCCACAGAGATGTTACTCAAATTTCTTGCTTTAGAAAGGTTTTTGGGCAGAACTGCAAATTGAACCAAGTCAAGAGACCTGTCTATGCATCTGCACAGTTCAGCAGAAGGAAGAAGTTCTACAAAAACAGCAAATTTTTCAAAGACACAAATGCACAAAATTTTTTTTATGCCAGTTGTTTCAGATTTTCTAAAAGCCAGTGAAAGTAAAGAGAATGCATTTATTTAAAAGAAATATACAACAATAATTTCAAAATTTTACTTGAAATATTGTAAATAAGGAAGATTCTTACCTGAACAAAGTGACTGGGCGTTTCACTGCATACTGAATGGATCTGCCCATTTATTATTGGAATTATCTTGGCTAAAGGAAGACTGACACTGGAAAGACTAGAAAAAAACAAAAAATATTGACCTAGACCTGCTCTGACATTGGTAAAACCACTAAACTGTGGTTATTAGAATTTTAAGTAATTACTACTTAAAAAGTAAGAATTGCAAGACTGCAAACTAAATGAAAGGGGTTTTTTTCCTTGTCAAGCCTTTCATTTAATATACAGAAGTACCAAAGCTGATTTCAGTTGGTCTTCTTATTATATAGTGTTTCATACTTTCTTCTCACACAAGCGAATTATGGTTTAGGCAGAGTCTTTACATGTGTGTGTATGCAGACAGGTGATAGAAGTGCCTGGGAATATGTAGAAAATCCCGAGTGTTACTATATTTTATCAGCATACCAGCAAAGAACCTAGAGCTGTGTGGGTGCTTTGGCTCCCTGTATTTGTAGGATCACGGCAATGCCCACCCAGCTTCCTTGAGAACCAGAGTAAGCGACAGCGGATGGGGCACGCAGGGCCCATGAGCTGCAGGGGAAGGCTCTTCCTCCTGGCCTCACAGGGAGGTACAGCAGCACATCTGCCAGTAGTTGCCACCAGTGGGGTAACCTAACGCCTAACGCCAAAGGCGGTCTGCCAGTACAGTGTTCAGGCAAAAAGTGGAACGTAAGGTCATCTGATTTCTACTTCTAGATCTGCAAGTAATGGTGGGAAAGGTACCTCACCTATACTCTTGCCTGTTTCCTTCCACCCATGAAATCCTCCTAGCTGTCTACCTGAACAAAACATGGAGAATGCAGTGATTCTTGAAGAGCAAGAAGCAGAATATTACTTCCAGCATGAGAGCTTCAAGAAGGCAGGAAAATCAACAGGCTTTCTGGAATTCACTATGAACACAAAACACTAGTGACATGAGAACCACAACAGAAGGAAATATTTACCTATTTACAGAGCCATTCTGAGAGAGGTCCTTTTCAGTAGGTCTAAAAAACTCTGCCATATTGTCCAGCAGTCGACTGAATCCTCTGTTTAAACATGTGCTCAAAACCGTACTGAAGTCTGGACTGAAAAATAAAGAATAATAATGATGATGATAATAATAACAATAATAATAATAAAAGGTTTGAATCCTGGGTTTTATTTTTTCCAACTAAAAAACCTTGCAAGTATTCAGTGACTCAGATATGCCTCCCCTCAGGGAGGATGTATGACCCAGACAAATGCCATTAGTATTGCCACCTCACCAAAGACCAGCTCCTTCAACAACCCAAACTCTACCCTAAAAGCGAGATAAGTCTAAAGCATTCCTCACTTCTATTTCTTACAGAGTTATAACATAGAAGGGATTTACCCTTAAAATGCCCCAGATCCCTAGCAGCTAAATGGTAAGAATAGTTTGGCACTTGTTCTCAATTCCCTCATATCCCGTGTTTATTATAGAAGCCTCACTTTGATAGCTCTCTCTGGTAGAAGGACACATACAACCACTCTCAAAACCATGCACTAAAAATAAATTCCAATAAGCCAATACTAGTGTTCACTTTATCAAATCAAGTAAATCCAATAAAATTACTCTCAATTTATCCTACTTTGGCAGAAAAGAAGTACTCTTCTTTCCTGCACAACTACAGAACAGGTGAGGAAGAGATAAGAGGTCTGACTGGGAAGGACATCCTGGTTTATTTCATTAAGGCAGGATTATTTCTTATAAATAAGTTTCAGAGCTCCCAAATTTTGAAAATCCCAGCCTACAATTAGTAATGTAGTAATTAAATTTTTACATTAGAATGTAAAAATTTAATGCAAAATGCTCACATTTCACAAATGAAAAGTTGACAACTTTTTATATGAAAGTAATTGTCTTACATAAACAATAGTTGTGAGGAGTTTAATGTGAATACAGGTTATTTCTCTATACCTTTCTAGCATATCTCTAGTTTCATTCAATAATTTAATTGTAGCGATATCTCTTTCTGTGAGTCCACAAGCCTAGAAAAAGCAAAGACAGACACTGTTTAGTTAGTTTCATTGGCAACCACGAGAATAAGAGTGGAAATAGAAATGGAATAAAGTCAAGATGTACAAGTCAAATCTAAAAGAAAATATTGTCATAAACCAGATTCTTTGTAATTTGTGTTTTAAATAGTCACTGTAGGATTTTTTTTTTTTTTACTAAAAATAGTACTAGCAGGAAGTATCAGACTAATTGGGCAAGGCATTTTTCCACTTTTGACCTTCAAAATTGAAATAAACCCAGAATATCAGCTTAAGCTAAAATGGTAAGTGCGTGCAGTCACACACTGAAGCCCGTGTTTAATCTTTACATGAGTGTAAAACCAAGTGAAGAGTGAGTTTTCCCCAACCTGTGGTGTGGGTAGAGACAAACACCTTCACAAAATTTAGGAAATTAATATTACAGCTGCAGTAAGATACACCCTTCTCTTGGCTTCCTGTTCATCTTCCAGCCCGAAGCAACAAAGGATGGCAGCACACCACCATCCCGAGCATCAGCCAAGATGCTACAGTGCTCCATGAACCTTGCCGGTACAGCAGTGCAAGCGATACAATGTAGCTTAGGGCTGAGGTAAGCTGAGCCCTGTCACAGCTTCGGCCACAGCCTAAAAACAGTAACTGGGCTGTGTTTCTGGGCACAAAGCTGACATTCTGAGCATGACACTTGTTTTCAACCAAATCTGAAGAAAATGTAACTTTGCCTAAACAAAGAGATAAGGACACTTGATTTATGATGGAAGAGGCTCCACCATTTATTAAGAGACACAGACACCACGGCACACTAGAGGACTTCCCTCACCCCCAAAAAGAAACAAAAATGCAGAATGAAAAAAGGTAGATGAAAGAAACTGAAACAAGTACCTGGCTAGCCAAGGGGTTTTCTTCATCTGGCATCAGATAATGACATAAGGGAGAGTAAGATG